CTTGGAGGTCCCGGGCAAAGAGGGTGCGTGGGTGCACACACACTGTGGGCAGCCTCTCATCCACTCTACACCCAGGGGAGATGCACAGAGAGCAGCAAAGCAAATAAGGATTTTATTGCTTATGTGCCAGTGCAGGTCCTAACGCACGGGGGGCTGCTACAAGGATCATGGGATAAGATGGGTAGAGTTAAATGCATTCCATTCCAGAGGAGATCTGCATCCCACCCCAGAGGAGATCTGTATCCCCCTGCCCTAGCCCTGCATCCCATCCTGGAGGGGATCTGCATCCCTTGCCCTGCCCCACATCCCATCCCAGCAGGCAGGACAGCTCATGGCACGTGTGCAAATAGGCACCTTCTAAGCTATTCCATGGCTGAGCACAGTGGAGGAAGCAGCTCCTCTGTTCGAGTCACCCTGCCAGGGGGGTTTGTCGAGTGCACGACAGGTATTGGTTCTCCTGGAGGTGATGTCCCCAGGAGCCGTGTGCTGGGTGGCAGGAGGGACACGATCAGCCGGGCTCTGTGGGGGTTTCGGAGGTGCCAGCACTGGGCACAGCGTGGCTGTGACACCGAGGGGCAGCCCCAGTGCTGGCCTGTCCCTGGGAGGCTCCCCACAACCAGCCTCGGCTCTGGCACTGGCAGCAGGGGACACCCAGCAGCCCCACGCGCTGAGGAAGGAAGGACGGAGGGAAGATTTGTGTTTGAAAAGGCAGAAAAGCGCAGCCTCGGGACGGTGGTAAATGGGCCACCCGGTTCCCTGTGCCCTAGAAATTCCCTGTGCGTGCTCTCGCCGCGGTGCCGGCGCAGCGGGGTGGCTGCTGATGCTATCGCTGTCCCAGCTCGATGACTAAGGGAGCTGGAAGGTATAAATTAAATAACACAACACTTCAAGCCACCTGTTATGTGGGTTTGTCCTAAGCAGCGCTGCTTTAATTAAGACGGAGAGTTTACAAATCTAACCTTTGTTTATTCTGCTTTGGGGCATATATAATGTAAATATGTGTTTTCAAACACTGTGGCTTTTTAGATTTCCAGTTATAATTCTGGGTAAAGGAAAGTTCGTCAGGTTTGGCATAGACTTGCCCTTTCTAAATAGAGCTCCCGCGAGCTCCTTCCCCCGGGGGACTCTCTCAGCACCTCAGCTCGTTCTGCTCCCAACCCAGCTCTGTTTTCGGCTGCAGGATGAGGGGCTGGGAGGGTTCAGCCGGGCACTCCCAAGAGGGAAGTGGGCTCCAACTCCATTTCCCTCTTCTCTGGCTCAGCTTTGAGTCTTACAGGTTTTGTTCCTGTATCCCCTCTTGGTTCTTTAGTTGTGGAAACAAGAACACAGAGTTTAGCCAGCTACGTGCTCGTCGGGATTTCTCCGATGAGTCAGTGATACGCTTGGGTAGCTTTCTTAGCCTTTAATTGAAGTGAGTGTGAGCCCTTAACAAAGAGCTCTCCCAAGTCTTCCTTAATAAGCGTTAACAAAAATAACTGAGCCACCAGGAGGAAAATAACCAGTGGCGGCAGTGGTGTCTCCTCTGCTCCAGCGGGGCTGCTCCGGGCTCTCCTGCAGCCCTGCTCTGCCGAGGGCAGTGCCGGGGTCGGAACACAGGGCAGGAGAGGGAAACCCTGGGGCGCTGGCACGCGGGGTGGAGCAGGGGATGATCCAGCTGCTCCCGTGCAGCGGCTGGGAAGAGAATCTTGGCTGAGCAGAGAGACCATCTCCAGGCGAGCCGGGCCCATGCGAGCGCTGCACGTGCACTGGAGAACCCTTTTAGCTCCTTTTTTTTGGTGTGCTTTTCTTAATTCAGAGCCTCTGCAGAGCAAGGGTGGTATTTTGCACGTTTCCAGACTGTGCCTCAGCACAGAGTTCCACCATGGTGCAGACGGGGGGGTCAAAACCAAGCAGGCTCCAAATTTCCTGAGGCAGACGGACCATCTGAGCTGCAGGTGCTCCCAAGCAGGTCGGGCCACTCCAGGCAGCCGAGCCCCTGGGCACATGGCCACAAACTTCCCTTTGGGGTCACAGGGCTGAGAAACTCTTTTTTGTTTTAAATGCAAACAGATTTTGACATAACCACTTGACTCTGGCACCGGAGTTTCAAGGAAAAAAGCCCAAGAGGCGTGAAACATCCGCAGGCGTCACTCGGAACAGAACAAGGACTGTTTTGCAATGCTCTCAGAAGGTGAAGAAATGCCTGGGGAGGGCCAAGGACCCTGTGGCTGCAGGGCCAGGTGACCTGCCTGAGGCTGCACAAAGCCACGGCTGAGCCAGCAGGCTGGGACCCTCATGAGCGTCCCCTGGTCCCTGCTGTCCCTCCTCCCCCCCAGCATTACACTGAGCTGTGGCTTTGGGACCGGCTTGTGCATTATCTGTAACAGGAGACAAGAAAAACCAGCCGGCTGTCCCGCACGGGAGGAAGTCTCAGGGCAGCCTCGCTGACAGGAGCCATATTTAGCCCCGAGTGCTGTGGCTGGGGTGGCTCAGCTGTTTCTCCCCACGCCCGCGGTGCCGCAGCGGCCGAGGCCTCGGATGCTCAGCAGGGATCCAGGCCCGAGCAAAGAGGATTGACCAGAGCTGTGAGAAAATAAATAATAAAGTGCCGTAAGCCTGTTCTCATCTCCCCAGCCCCGGGGAAGGCAAGTGGAGGTCAGGATTAAAACCCCCCTCCTGTTGCAGTGTTAAATCGGCCACTCTCAGGTACCCAAGAAATGCCAGGTGTCCCTCAGATGCCACCCGAGGTGGGGCACAGGTGTCCCACACATCCCTCCCTGTCCTGGGAGCACCGGGGAGGCACATGGAGCTGTCCCTGGGTCCCATCCTCCTGCCTGTCAGGGATGTGCTTGATGTGTATAAACACGTAATTAACGGTATGTATGTATTTAATTGCTCGTGGCTACGATTTGCATTCAGGTGCTGAGCTGAAGATGCCTCAGATGCCTCAGATACGGGCGAATCCACTCAGCCGAACACGTGGAGGTGTGCGGGGCAGCGCAGCGGGGAGGGGGCTGCGGTGGCACCGCATCGCCCGAACCGCCCGGGGGCTGCAGGGCCGGGGGGACACGGCCCGGCCCGGGGAGGGCTGGAGGGGCCTTGGGCCGCGGGACAGCGCCGGGCCCGGCCCTCCTGGAGCCCGGCCAGGCGGGGTGCGAAGCCGGGCCGGCCCGGGCAGGCGGCAGCACACAGGGTGGGCTGAGGACGAGCCCGGGTGGGCTGAGGACGAGCCCGGGGGAGCCGAAGTGGCGGCGGCGCCGGGCGACCCCCGGGGCGGCCCCGCGCTCACCCCCCCGCCCCCGGCACCGCCGCCCGCCCGCACCCGCGGGCGAAGCCGCCCCCCGCCGCCCCCGCGGCTCCCTCCCTCCCTCCCTCCCTGCCGGCGCGGCGGGCGGGGGCGGCGGGCGGGGAGGGGAGAAGGGGCGGGCGGGCGGCGCGGCGGCCCCGGGGCCGGGCCGGGGCGGGCGGCGCGGCGGCCCCGGACACCTCGGCCGCTCCTCCATCTTCTCTCGCCACAGCTCGGCTTCCCCAGCCCGGGACCGGCCCATTGCCAGCCCCGCGGGGGGGGCGGCCGGCCCGCCGCGCCGCCCCGGCCCCGCCGCCCGCGCCGCCGCTCCGCCGCGCCGCCCCGGGCCCTCCGCCCGCCCCGCGGCGAGGGGAGCGGCGGGGGGGGGGCCGCGGCCGCCCCGGGCCCCCCCCCCCCCCCCCGGGGGGGGCGGCCGGCCCGCCGCGCCGCCCCGGCCCCGCCGCCCGCGCCGCCGCTCCGCCGCGCCGCCCCGGGCCCTCCGCCCGCCCCGCGGCGAGGGGAGCGGCGGGGGCGGCGCCGCGGCCGCCCGGGCCATCGCCGCCCCGCCGGGGCGCCGCGCCGCCGCCTCCCCCCTCTGGGCCGCAGTGGTGCAGCCCGAGGTTAGCGGAAGCGGCCGCTCGGCGCTGCCATGTTGAGCCGCCGCCGCCGCCGCCGCTTTGTTGTCGGCTCCATGTAGCTGCGGCCCGGGGGAGGGAGCGACGGGGGGACCGCCCGCCGCAGCCGCCGCCGCCGCCGCCCGGGGCCGCGCCGCCCCCGCCATGGAGGCCAACTGGACCGCGTTCCTCTTTCAGGTGAGGCCCCGCGGCGGCGGCGGCGCTGCCCGCGCCCCCCCTCCCTCCCTCACGGCCGCGGCCCCGCCGGTCCCCGCCGGGCCGGGCTGTCACTCAGCGCGGCCGCCCGGCCCCCGCCCGCCCCCGGCCCGGCCCGGCCCGGCCCGGCCCGCCGGGCAGCGCCTCACGGGCCCCGCGGCTCCGCTTCTCGCTCCTTCCCTCCTGCACTTTCTCCCTCCGCCGCCGCCCCGCAGCGCGCTCCCTTCCCGCTTCCCTCGCAAACCGTCTATTCGTAGTCGTGTTTTATTTTTTTTCCCCTCCCTCCAAAACGTGAAATCGCGCTTTTTTTTTTTTTTTTTTAATTTTATTATTTTTTTGGTGTTTGTTTTTCTCTTCCACCCCCAACCCCCCCGCCCAAAAAGAAAAACAACAACAACAAAAAAAACAACCCCAAGCTTCCACCGGGCTCTAACAAAACCCCGATGGAACAAACGCCGTGTCTGGGAGAATAAATTAATCCCTCTTTAAACAGCCTGACTCAGGGCCGGCTGACGAGGGAGCTTGTTTTCTTTTAAAATAGGACGCGAGCGGGCCGGATTTCTGTAAAAACTGGCGAAATCCTAACGGGAATGGGGAGGAATAGGGACGGTGGAGCGTGCAACCCCTCCCTTTGCCAACTGAGTCACAATTTTCCCCCTTTCTGTCGGCGAAAGACTGACTTAAAAACACCGCTGTTTATGTAATTCCGAAGAAAATCCAGTGTACCAGAAAAAAAAAAAATCCGAAAAAAAAAATCCTCGCCTGGCTTTTGTGAGCCTCGCGAGCCCTTTCACGCTGGATTGTTTTCTCCTGCTCTTTTTGAGCTGGAAAACATAAAATGTGTGATTGCAGCAGCAGCGGGGGAAAAAAAAAAAAAAAAAAAAGCCCAGCACATCACCTTTCTCAAGGTAAAATAATCCTCTTTGCACGTTCCCGGTGGCGGCCGCTCGCTTCCTCACTGTCCTCCTCGGAATTAAACCCAAACCCAACCCGTGACACGAGTTTGAAAACCTGAGTTGAATGAATAAATCCGCCAAGAGCGAGCACCATTCCTTTAGAGAGGAAAAATTCGTCCCTTGCAAGTACCAAGGGATGAGTCACTCGCTCGGGTTCTCTGCCTCCGAAAACACGCCGGGAATGTTCCGGGGAGCCGGTACCGGGAGCTGGGCGCTGGGTTTTCCGCCTTTTCGTGATGGATGCGGGTGATGCCATCGAGTTTGGCTGAGGTCTGGTGAATTATTTCTCACTCTAGTGGGCAGTTGTGATTCGCACGTAGGAAACTTCACGCTAGGAAGTTAATCTCCTTAGTTTAGGGCCATCTCCCTCCGAGCCGGGGCTGGTGTGGTGCCTTGCTGCCTCCCAGCTGAGCGCTTTCCAGGGGAAATTTTTCCTAGGCTGGCAGGACGGTATTGCAGCAGGCTCTGAGAAATGCCAAGTAATGCTTTCAAGTACGTGTCCAGCTCCTCGCTGCTCGTCCGTGTTTTTTGAAGGTGCTGAGTTTTGAAATAGTGATGTCACAGGCTGATTTAGGAGTCACCTTTGCTGCTTTTAATTAAGGAGTCAGCAGTTCACTTTCCCAGCGTGCGACTCGGAAGCATCTTCATAAAACTGTGATGTGGAAATTTTCCTCTGATTTTTTTTCTTATTTTTTGCCCCAAACAATAAAGCTTTCAGACCTCATAATAAATACCGAATATCGTTTCTGGAGTGATTTTGTTAAAAATCAACGATTTGGGTTGCGAGCATCCCAAGGCACCCAACTGAAAGCAGCATTAAGGTACTCCTGATGTGACTTTCTTCTTCCCATTCTCACAGCACACAGCAGCCAAGACCCAGCTGATTAGTTAAAAAAAGTGGATTTAAAAGCCTCTCCCCTGTGTCGGTTAAGTAACAAATGCAAGTGACTGAATATTCATGTTCATTCTTCCTGGGGAGTGTGTGTTCCAGCTAGGACAGGATTCCTAAGGGACAGTTAGATACCCGGGATATAAAGTTGTAATTTTTAGCCAAACGTTTTCAGAGGAGGTTTCGACGTCGTAATTTTATTCCTGTAGCAATGGGCTGTGCAACTGTAAATAGCTCCTTCCAAATGAAGTTGTTTGATTGTTTTTAGGTGGCATTTTGATGAATTGTATCCCTTTCTAAAGGAACAATCGTGCTACTGAATAAGCAGTTCTTGTTTGGATCTCCTTAGTCCCCGAAATGCTTATTTGGAAACCCACTTTTAGTATCTGGTCGGGAAGCGAAAGTTGTATCTGTTAATGTGAGGAGGACTCATCCATCAGATGGAGCGTTCAAGATATGACTCATCCTAATTTGTTGCTCTCACATTAAGGCTGGAGCACAAAAATATTTTAGCCTCTGGCATTGGAAGTTCACAATGCCACATCCTACACTCCGGGTCACGAATTGCAGGTTTTTTTGTTTGCTGCCCCCTCTCCCCATGAGGGAAGAAACTAGTGACAGAACGAGGGGGTTTTGCACGAGAGCCTGTCCCAGGCTGTCAAAATATCCCCAAAATGTTGACTTGACGTTAATTCTGGGTCAAGTAAAACTGTGGTCAGAGCCTGAATAGCAGCGCCCGCGAGAGGCGTGCAGCAGGTGCTGCTTCCCTTCTCCAACAGGGAGTTAAAAAAAAATGCTGCCTGATCCTTTTTTAAAAGGCTTTAAGGCAGGCAGCCCTTGGAAACTGAGGAACAGGGCTCGTGCCACGGGGGCTGCGGGCAGGACCATGCTAATAGCGCTGGCTCTCTGGGAACCAAGATAAGCAGACTTATATAAGCAGCAGCTCCATAGCCTGTAGCCTTATGAATATACATTGTTTTATGTCCACTATCTCCATCGGATCCGTAGGAATGAGTGCATCATTACCTTGAAGTGCTGACGATTCTTTGAGGCTTAAAAATATCCATAAACTGCCTAAGTTTGAACCTTGTCCAAAGGATTTGGGCTCTCCATTATCCGATCTGTTAGCTCTGCCTTTGAAACTGTATCTCTGGAGCTATCATTAGGTGCTCTGCAGTGTCTTCTGGTGCAGTTTAACAACACTGTTTAATGCTCATTTAAAGTTGTAAAACATTTCAGATTTTTTTTAAATTAAAATTGTATCCAAGTGCTTAACTTGCTCAATACTGTGCTGTTGGTGTGTATCGTGCAGACTCTATTTTCATGCAATGTGGATGTCTCAGTGCCCTCTTAAAAACACGGAAGATAAATGGTTGAAAATCCACAATTGACACTGAAGTCAGGGAAAAGTTTAATGGAGCTGCTGGAGCTTGTGCCGTGCCCTGATTTAGCAGCGTCGCCTCCAGGAGAGTTCTGGATCCTGCTCTTCAGCAATCGTTCTGCAAAGCAGCCCTGGGGCTGTTGTTTGAGGTGGCTGCTGTGGCCAGGCAGGTGTGGTAATATCCAGCCTACCTGTTGCATCCTGACCTTGGGCACAGGCAGGATGGAAAATGCAGATACAGATGGACAGGCTGGCCTGGCTCCTAATGATTCCCACAAGTTTTGTCTCCTGTTACCATCCCAAATCCAGGCTTCATCCCGTGAACTGTTTTCCTGTCGGATAGGCTTGGAGTGTTAGGGAGCTCATATTCCTCCCCACATAGGTTAGTGTTGGTATCCCCTGGTGCTTTTTATCCAAAGATCACCAGCATCACTCTCCTGAAAAGTGAGATTGGAGTGGTGAAGGGCTTGTGAGGGGCAGGAGCCACCCTGCAGCCAGGGAGAGGTGCTCTGGGGTGGCCTACTGCAATCCAGAGAGGCAAAGCCTCCAGATCCAACTAGGAAAAGGTCCCAAAGTGAGCTGCTAGAAATACTGGCTTCTCCAAAGGACGTGTTGAAATGGATTCCTGTGGGGAGAGCATTAGCCTGAGTGCACTCCCTAGCACTGTCCATCCTCAGCTGATCTAAAAGTAGGCAGGTTGGGGTCACACGCCAGCACAGCGTTTGGTTCAGCTTTCGCAGCCTCGAGTCGTGCTATTTTGTAAGGGAAGCTGTAGGAAAGGAGTCCTGGAAGGCTGCAATACTGATCTAATGGGAATGCAAGTTTCCCCAAACACAGCTTCAGGCCTGGCACGCTGCACTAACGAGCCTGATTTAAAACTGGTCTGATGAGACCGAGGCACATCTTGAATACAGATGCGCTTAAACTGGCTTAAGGTGCTGGAGTGATTTATTTTAATGCTCCATTAGGCTGAATTGGTCTGTGTGGTTTCTAAACCACTTTAAAATTGTATCTGCCAGGGTTTTGTCCCAGTCTCACTGGATGAGTTTTAATAACAGTATCCACTGGTTTTCTGCCTTAGAATAACCAAGCATGGTGCAGCACAGCCCGTGGCGGTGCAGGCTGCAGCTCAGCTGAGCGGTGCTGGCCACGGTCCCCTCGGTCCCCTCTCTGCCCCTTCCTTGTAGCTTCTCCCACTGATTCTGTAGTCCAAAGTCAGTTGGTATTGGCTGTTTTCAAATGGCTTTCAGAGTTTTTTTCCCAACACCCCCCCATGTGTGCTCTCCAGCATCTCTAGATGTCTCCCAGTGCGTATCGATTCGCTTCTCTTCCTAGCACAAAGTAGCTGCTGACGAAGAGAAAAAGGCCGTGTCGCTATTCTTGTTAGTTCCAGACACAGAGAGCACAGTGGTCAGTGGATAAATGCATCGGGAACCTGCTAAATATAGAGATGTGGCTTTAGACAGCTCCCGATTCCAGTTGCTTTGGTTTCAGTGCTGGCACACTGGTATGAACACGCTGTTTAAATAAGACGCCTTATCACATCCTGGCTCTCTGTGGCTGCAGTTCAATTTTCAGTGTGCACTAAGCTTGACTTAAAGGTGGGGCGTTATTTTGCAACTCCTGTCAGTACCTTCGTCAGCTCCAGAGACAGTCCCAAGGTGGCATCTGATACAATCATTAGCAAAATGAGTTATCTGTTATGTAAAGATCAAACGCCGTGTTAGTAAAAGATCTGACAAGCATCTCGTTGTCTTCCATAAAAAGTTGCCCTCCGGAAACTTAATAATTCTTTGGTTGTTGTGCTGTGTCCTACACTTACCACAGGATCTGCACAGCGAGTGCATTTACAGTGCGAGCGGTTTATCTTGTCCAAAACCAGAATTATGTAACCTTCCCCTGTTGTTCCTTCCACGGCTTTTGGTCTAGAATATGCTTTCCTGTTGTTTTGTAAATGTGCTCACCGTGTTAAAGGGAGCACCCATCCAGAGAATTTAAGTGTGAATGTTTGGTTTTAGGCACACGAAGCCTCCCATCACCAACAGCAGGCAGCACAGAACAGTTTGTTGCCTCTCCTGAGCTCTGCTGTTGAGCCGCCCGATCAGAAGCCGATTCTGCCCTTACCAATAACGCAGAAACCTCAGCCTGCACCAGAAACATTAAAGGATGCTATTGTTGGGATTAAAAAGGAAAAACCTAAAACCTCCTTTGTGTGCACTTACTGCAGCAAAGCTTTCAGGGACAGCTACCATTTGAGGCGTCACGAGTCCTGCCACACAGGGATAAAGTTAGTGTCACGGCCAAAGAAAACTCCCACCACAATGGTGCCCCTTATCTCGACCATCGCTGGTGACAACAGCCGGAGTTCGCTGGTTTCGACTATCGCAGGCATCCTGTCCACTGTCACTACGTCTTCCTCTGCCACCAACCCCAGCAGCAGCGCCGGCGCCACGGCCATGGCAGTGACGCAGACGGTGAAGAAGCCCAGCAAGCCCGTGAAGAAGAACCACGCCTGCGAGATGTGCGGAAAGGCCTTCAGGGACGTCTACCACCTCAACCGGCACAAGCTGTCCCACTCCGACGAGAAACCCTTCGAATGTCCCATTTGCAATCAGCGCTTCAAGAGAAAGGATCGCATGACCTACCACGTGAGGTCTCACGAGGGGGGCATCACGAAACCCTACACCTGTGGTGTTTGTGGAAAAGGCTTCTCGAGGTACCGTGTAGCAAATCCCAGGCGCGCTCCACTGTTGGCTCTTCGTACGCAGGAAGGGTTAAGCTGGCAGAGCGAGGGGCTGGGAGAACCAGGCCTTTGAGGAGATTGGTGAGGGGATAAAGAGCCTTGTCTGCCTCCAGGGTGGGGGTCTCCATCTGAGCCAGGTTAGCAGTGGCCAAAAGCGGTCACTTTTGTAGGAGAGTGGTTGGAAATGGCCTCACGACGTCATCCAGGTCCTGTAGGACACATGTCTGTGTCACGGGGGTGGGCACAGAGCTCCTTTACCAGCCTTTGCCACAGTCTGTGACCGAATGGGGCAGGGCAGGTAAACTGTCACCTGGTTTTGTAGCAGGGCTGAGGGCGCTGACAGAGCTCTGGGGGGAGCTTGCATTGCTGCTGCTGTGTCTGTACCTGTGCTTGCAGCAGAGAAAACATCAACCTTTACAGCTGCTGCGCTCTCACCTTTACACAAGGTGTGACCAAATGTACCATTTTTGGGTGTGTAAGGAGAACAGGGTTAAGGATTAAGCTGCAAACTGGGTCCCAGAGTAACTGTGAGGAGCTCTGGGTGACAGCCACTGGTAGGTGAGGGGAAGGTATTTATTCTGGGGGCTGCAGGGGGTCTCCAGCAGTGTCAGCCCACTGTCAGTGTCCTTACTGTGTGTTTGTAACAGTGCATTTTCTCTCCTGTTGCTCTCTTTTTTGCAGGCCTGATCATTTAAGCTGTCACGTTAAACACGTTCACTCAACAGAGAGACCCTTCAAATGCCAAGTAAGGGCTAAAATGATTTATTAAGAACAATACCTTATTGTATCAGTACAATCTCAGGTGAATCTTTCCAGAGCTGTATTTGCTCCCAGACTTTCCTTTGATAAGCAAGTTTAGGAGTAAAGCCACATCCGCCCGCATAACACAGTGCTGGAGTTCTGGTGGAAGTTTAAAAAGATGCCGTGGCTGCTTTTTTAGGAAGATTAGAGGCTTTTTGCTGTCTTGGAGAACAGCATAGTTGCTCTATTTTACCATATGCTTAACTTAGTAGTAGGGTTGTAACAGCATCCTCAGCTCAGTGCTGATTTGTGGAGTAATGTGTGCAGTGTGTTTCTCAGCGTGTTTAAATCAAATGTCTCTCAGTACATCTATTTAAAATGGATGGGAATGGTTGATTCTGGATCCGTTATTTTGCTGGAAGGGGAAGGCAAGTTGTCGTAAGTTGATGACTGAGTCTAAGAGAAATAATTAAATTGCCCTTGAACAATTAACTGTTTTGCTTGGAATATCCATGCTTATTCCAACCTCTGTTTTACTGACTCATCTTATTAAATAAAAGGCTCGGGTAAAAAGAATAGCATTAGGAAGAGGTTTTATTTCCTTGTTCTGGATGGGAACAGACGTAATTGAGCAATTCAAGAGATCAAGTTCATATTTGTACAGTAAAATTATATCAAAAAACAACTTTGCCTGCTCCAGGCTTTTTTATGAGCTCCCTCTTGCTTTGGAGGGTAAGGCAACCTGCTATTTTAAGAAATTTCAAGTAGTATTGAGTATGATTTTTGTCCTGATTGTCTCAGAAACGAATACCACTCTCAATCTCTGTTTAGTAGCTTGATTTTGGTTTCTCTATAAATACAGGTAAAACTTAATGTTGTCAGTACATTTAGGATGCTGTTAGGACCTGCAAGGTAAAAAGGGCTCTCAGTGGGCCTTAACTGCTGCTGTCTGCCCCTCAAGTGTAACTGTTGTCCTCCATCTAGACGTGCACTGCTGCCTTTGCCACCAAAGACAGACTGCGGACACACATGGTGCGCCATGAAGGAAAGGTATCGTGTAATATCTGTGGTAAACTTCTGAGTGCAGCATATATCACCAGCCACTTAAAGACACACGGGCAGAGCCAAAGTATCAACTGTAATACCTGTAAACAAGGCATCAATAAAAGTAGGTGAACGTTTTACAAACATTTCTAATAACAGTGTGCGTGCGAAGGGAATTGCCTTTGATGACGTTCAAATGCAAGGAACCCATCAGTCTGGGTGGTCACACCTCTTAAAAGTAGATATTTAGTAACAGAATCTGCTTCAGCTCAAGAATTGGCATGTGGGGAACTGGTTGGCTGCTAGACTGTGCTCTTGTCCCTTAGGAATGCCCTGCAGTTTGTGAGAGTGCCCAAGTTTTCTCACCTTCTAATTACAGTGCTTCCTCAACTATGCAGGCCTAGAAGTCCAACAGATAATTTGGAGATTTTAGGCTATTTAAGAACTGCTAAAATCTGCCAGGTTTCAGGTTTAAAGCATCACCTAAAGCTCATCAAAATTAGGAGAAAGATTTCTGTGCTTTCCCTGAGCTTTGACCCCAAGGCTTAATGTTTCCTCCCTCTGGCAGTAGCTGACAAGAAGAGGATTTAAATCCAGCCCTGATGTGTTTTGGGCATTAATGGCATCTGACTGGTGTTGTGCAGGAGGTCAGATGAGATGTTTGTAATAGTTCTTTCTGGTCTTAACCTCTGTGGAGATGCTGCAGCCTGGACCTGGGAGTGCCTAGCAAACAAATGAAGACTTGACTTTCAAATACCTGTAACTTAACCCACAGGGTTAGTGATATAAAATGGATTTTCAGAGGAACAAGAGGAAGAAGTAAAGCATGTCTTTGACTTCGTCCTAAAGCCTTTTAAACTGTATTAATTTACAGCATCTTTGCTGTTCCTGTTACTCCTGGATAATTTGAAGGTACTGGGAATGTCTGAAATGCCTGATTGTTGAGCTTAGTAGGAAATTTGGATGGGAAGTATTTTTTAAGGTATAGGGTTACAGCTCTGGCTTCCCAAGCCAGTATGGTGGTGCTAAGCCAGTTCACATGAGGCATTTAGAGCAGTTGTTAGAGGTGGGAATGATGAGCTGTACTGTGGCCAGGGAGTAGTGACAGGCTGTTCTGTGATGTAAAGGTAAACTGAAAGTTTTAAGTCATACTTGCAATAAAAAGTAAAAAGGTTTTTAATTTTTTTTTGAGCTGGAGCTGAGGTTTAGAAAAAATGGGATCAGCTTGAGTTCTAGAGGCTCAGTGGAGTCTTTGATTTCATTCTTCCTAAATACAAACTAAATAATCAGAAAGGAAGTCAATCTTTGGCAGTTAAAGCAGATGTTCTTGACTTATATTCTGGTTTTTAGGTCTTGGAAAAGTAGTTTTATAAAGCACAGAATTAATTATATGGTTTTAAACACCTCTGTGATTTTTTGCTCTTGGAATCCTGTGAGATTCCACACGCTCTTTATGGAAGTTGCCTTTGTGATCTCAGCAGAAAACAGAGTAACTTTTCAAGGTGAATTTGTGTTCTTACTTAATTGGCATAGCATGCATGAGTGAAGAGACCAGCAACCAGAAACAGCAACAGCAGCAGCAACAACAGCAACAACAACAGCAGCAGCAGCAGCAGCAACAGCAGCAACAACAGCAACAACAGCAGCAGCAGCAGCAACAGCAGCAACAGCAGCAACACGTAACAAGTTGGCCTGGAAAGCAGGTAGAGACCCTGAGATTGTGGGAAGAGGCCGTCAAAGCGAGGAAGAAAGGTAAACCAAACCAATATTGATGGGTTTAGGTCTGTGAGGCAGTGCAGTCTGCAGTTCTGTAGGGAGGTCAAGGTGTCAGGAAGGATGTTTTAGAGGACAGTTGCATTCCCGGTGTTAGAAGTCACAGCTCAGGACTAGCAGGAGGAAACAGGCCCAGGATTAGGCTGTGTTACATGAACTCCTCTTTGCTTGCTCTCTTTGGTCTCTGTGTCTATAGCAGCCACCAGTTACAAAGGGAGGCTTGTGTCTGCTCCAGGGCAGGAGTGTGGGCTTTGACTTGCATGTGGCTTTGAGCTGTGTTTGTGCATATTTACCCTTGTTCACTTGTGTATATATATATATATATGTATATATACACCCCCCCTCTGTCTTTGCGTCACCAGTTTGCATGTGTGTGCTTTCTGTTCCTGTTCATCTTCTCTCTCCCAATTTATTCCATCTCCTTTATCATCATTAACTCTCCTGGACTTTTTCTAGACGTCAGAGAACTTACTCTTCTCCCTCTGTTGCTTTTTTTTTCATTACAAAATGAACTAATCAGTGATCCTGTTTTTCATTAGTGCTGGATCACAACTTACCTTACCTGTGCTGCCATAATCAAAGAGAAATTGCTTCCTTTTGTTGGCCACTGTGTCAGTTTGTAAAGAACAAATTGCTTCAGTATAGCGTTTTTAGGATATAGTAGTTTAAACTCTCCCATTACTGCTGCTTATTTGTTTCACAACAGTTTGATTTCTAATGCCTGTCATGTGACTCTTGTGGATTACATGTTTTAGAAGCTCTTAGTGACCATTTACTGTTTTTCACTGGCTGTTTTTAGGAATGTTTTTGACTCACCTTATATTTTTCTTTTCTCCTAACCTTCCTTTCAGTTTCTTCAATCTGTTTTTCTTTTCTAGGTCTTGTTTGTGTTTTAGGCCGCTTGCTCCTTTCGCCTTGCTATGCCAGTAATTGAATTTTAGACAGTATAGAAACAGCTTATTCATGTTAAGATGTACTGATAACAGAAACATAAATATCATCAGGCCACTAAGCAGATAAAGCAAATGGGTGTTGGATTTAGAAAATCTCTTGAGAATTATTTTCCTGCTTGTTTCTTCCTATGTCTTGTTCCTTTTTCCCTTCGTTGCTTATTGAGATTATTGAATGTGCTTTAACAGAAGTGGTTTGGGGCAGGATGGGGGGTGAGGGAGGTGGGTGGGTAGGAGTGGTGTCAGACTGATGCTGTTAGCTTTGTTTAACTGGGGAAGGGGCATGGGTGGGATGTGTCTTTGGGTGTGACCGTGCTTGAAGGTGAAGTTAGACCAGTCAGTGCCATGCCTGAGCTACTCTTTCCTTGCTGGTTCTCCTGTGCTGGTGCCACTTGTGGTCGCTTTGCAACACTAGATGGGATTTTTTTAGTCTAATACAATTTATTTTCACAATTTTTATTTTATTTTTTTTTTTACTCTTTCCCTTCCTTTCCACCCCTCCTAGCTATGGACTTTGAAGAACCAACAGTAACCCTTGAATGGGGCTAATGTTGCTTTCAAAGTTACATTTGTATTGCCCGAGTGGCAAAGCGGACTCTTTGCTCCTGTTTTACCTCTGACACGTGGGTGTAACTGAGCTTGGGGTCCTGCCCTACAAATGTGGAATAAGACACGACTTAGCCATGCTGTAACGCTGATGTAGAACACGATTTTCCCTGGTTTCTTTAGTAGTCAGCCCTCCCCTTTCCCCTCCTCCTGTTTTTGGAGCCTCCTGGTGTGGGTAGCCGGCAGGTGGTGCTGATGGATGTGTAGAGAGCCCTCCTTCCCCCCTCGGCCCCCCTCGCCAGCCCTGCTCCCCAGTGCCCGGCCCTGCTCCCCAGCCCCTGCCCGCTGCCCTCCTGGGTCTCCCTTGCTCAGCACTTCATTCCTGCTTGCTGCTAAACCACCCCAAAAAACCCCAAACGAATGTGGAAGCTGAGGAGCTGAAGGGGGTTGAAGGATGTACTGCTGGGGTAGGCTTGGAGTAGAGGTACTGTGAGCAGCGGAGCAATTAAGTAGCAGTAATTAAGACTGAAATAAGCAGGTAAATATTGAAACGAGCTTTGCTTATCAGTCCCTAATAATGACTTTTTAAAACCTTCACAGAATGTCAGTTCACCTTTGAGAAGGCTATAGAGTACGTACCATTCGGTATGTACACTCTCTCCTCTATTTCTAATGTTCCTCTTGGGAGGATTTTTTTGATTGTACGATACTGTTTTTATGAACATGGAAACCCTCTTGCTAAGACAACCTCACTTGAATTCTCAGGAAAAAAAAAAAAATTGAATTGAAATGACCTGCATGAGAGTTTGTATTTCCTGTAGGCTATAGAATGTTAACAGTTTTAACTTACTAATAATTCCTAAAGAAAATTATTCCGGAATTTGTACCTGTTCTTGTTTGGTTTTTGGGTTTTTTTGTTTTGTTTTGTTTTGTTTAAATCTTGTCCATGGGTTTTTTTTATGTGTTAAAAACTTTTTGTCTTTTTTATGTCTCATTTTTAGAAGCTGCTAACTTGTGCCAAACCTCCACTGCTGCTACTACGCCTGTGACTCTTACTACTCCATTCAATATAACGTCCTCTGTGGCTTCTGGGACTATCACAAACCCAGTCACAGTGGCAGCTGCAATGAGCATGAGAAGTCCAGTAAATGTATCAAGTGCAGTTAATATATCCAGTCCGATGAACTTAGGGCATCCTGTAACTATAACCAGTCCTCTGTCCATGACCTCGCCCCTCACGCTCACCACCCCGGTGAACCTGCCCACCCCGGTCACGGCTCCAGTGAACATAGCGCACCCCGTCACCATCACGTCCCCCATGAACCTGCCCACCCCCATGACGCTGGCTGGCCCCCTCAACATAGCCATGAGACCAGTGGAGAGCATGCCTTTCCTGCCCCAGGCCTTGCCCACCTCTCCTCCCTGGTAAACAAGTTCTAAACAGTATTAAAAAGGATTAAAATGGAATCCTTACCAGCAGTTCTTTTTTGGGTTTTGTTTGGTTGGGTTTTTTTTTTTTTCTTTTTTCTTTTTTTCCTTTTATTTTGGTTTTTGTTTTGTTTTGTTCTGTTGGGTTTTTTGTTTTGTTTTGTTTTAGTTCATAATAAATTCAGGCTAAGACACTGGGGCAACACCATCAGAGACCACAGTAGCATCTTCCCCTTGATTTGGCTCACATGGTTCAGGCTTGAGTTTCACTGGAGCACTTCATTTAAAGTAAGTTTTACCTTGTAGCTGACTGATGCTGAATTAGAGCAGATACTTATTTGCCAGAGTTTTTAAAGAAAAAAAAAAACAACAAAAAAAAAACCAACAAAAAAAAAGGTAATTAAAAAAACAGTTTTATGTTTTATCCCCTCAAATTATAACTTAGAAAATTATTTTAACCTAAACACTAGCAAAGACCCCTCTGTATCTGTGACAGGGTGGATGGCTCATTTTAACCTGCCAGGCAAGTCCACTGTTTCTGAGCTAGTGTAGAACCTTTGTCTGTGTTGATGTTTTGTTTTTTTTTTTTAATGAGTAAATGCATTACAATGTTGTCATTTAAAAAAAAAAATGCATTTTTGGAGAAAATATGCATTTTACCTTTGGGAATATGATAATTTCAGGCAGCATTCCCTATGGGAAAGGTGATACCAGCTCTGATATGCAAAGCATATGATAACTTATCATTCTAACTTCAACATATAATAGGGATTGTGACCTGATATTTGGAGATGTAAATATTACCCAACATATTACCCTAAGGGAATAGAGCATTGTAGTCAACATTTTTTTTAAAAAAACTGTTATTGTTTGGTGAGAAACAGCCATGGCTGACAGAAGAGGAGTCGAAATGTATGTAAACATGGTCTCTGAACAGTCAGACCCCCATGGGACTCTTATCTAGGAGCAAAAGGAGTGCTTGGAAACTTAAGAAATATTGCTTTAAGCTGGAAGATTCTGGAGGCCCTGGGTGTGATTTTTATGCCCTCTGCCTCCCAATCAGAGCCTGCTGGTGTTCCAGCAGGGGACAGACATGTTAGTTGTTCACTAGAAGTTTTGTCTTATATTAAATTGTATACAGTTTTTATTCTAACCACTAACTAGGTAGGATGCCCCTCCAGGACAAGCAGAGAGCGTCTTTTAATTTCTCCCCTATTTCTTAATCAAGTGTTGTGCAAATCTGTTCAACTTTGTAAATATTTGCAAACATCATCATTTTTACGTTATTCTTCTATTGTGTTAACACATTTCTATGAATTTGTGGGAGTTCTGGGGTGCTGAGCTGTCCAGCCCAGAACTGCTCCATAAATGGTCACACATGTTTAAGCTACATGTGCTTTTTATTTCTTAACCTGTTTATCTGTACATAAAGTAGAAAGCAAAAATCTAGGGAAACAGATATACTTTTTAGACTATCATGTCA